CCCAGCGAAAATCTCAACACGGAATATACTGCACTCCCAGTGCCACCATAACCTTTATCTGCGAATGTCGTGACAATAAATACTTGCAAAGTGCATGTACAGGAAAATAGCACTGCAATTAGCGAACTTCCAGGACAATTAAAAAGTCTGTTCCACCTATTGACCCTTAAGCTCAAAGACGGAAACTTAGAACACGCGGTAGTGCCTGCGTCTCCTTTTGTGACAACCTTAAAATTTAACGTTCCTTAGATCCCGTACGAGGATGCGGTTCCTGTGGACCCAACGTTTGCACAAATGTTTCAAGTGGTTGTCCTTGGTAACCCCTCCACCAAGCCGCTCCAACCAGATCAGGTGATATCACTGCCAATCAGTCTGACTACATGTGCCTCCTGCAGGGAACTACAGGACCGTATGATTGATTCGAATGGGAGCAGGTCCACAGGACGGTGGAGTGAAATAACGGGAATGCGACCTGCAATCAGCAAGCGTTGGCTTGAGCCCGGGTCTGGGATGCATCGTCTCTCCGCCTTGCTTCAGGAGTGCTGGGTTCCCGTCTGGAGCAACCGCCTTTCCGCCCTTCGAGTTCGCAAGACACTCGAGAGCCTGGAGGCTGAATTGCGACCGTAGATTGCTGATGAAACGACTATTCCTATGCATCTTAACACCGGAAAACAAAAGCTTACAATCTCGCCTTCGGCATACCAGGAGACTTACCGTTGCTTGGCGACCTATCATCTGCTTTATTACGTTGATACTTTATAAATATAATTCCGCATTTTGATGGGGCCTTTTTACAGAGGGGGCCATTAGAAGTGTCGCTTTTTGGGAGCTCACTAAGGTCGAGGGGTGGGTTTTGCCCCGCGCACTTTTTTGGAGAAATTAACACAACACGGATGAGGCGTTTTATATCTCATGGTCTTACAGCGCGATCGAATAATACTGAGACCGAGTCTGCAATATAGGTATGCACTTGTCACGTATAGTCGGGGGAAATCCATCACAGGTCGCCAACCCAATGGCGGACGCATGTGCGGGCAATGTCGCGTCCGCGTGCCGTTTCCGAGTACTCCGCACTGTGAATTCCCAGTCGCGATAGTTAGTCATCGCTACTTGGCACGTAAGCGTTGGCCGGTGCTGACCAAACTTTCGTCTGTCTGCTTGACATCGCAGTCACCGAAGATGCATAGGATGTTCGTGGAGTGCGTTGTGGCGACTGGCGTGGTGCGATGCCCAGATAGTAGCACCTAGACTGCCCCACACTAGAAAGTGTGCTCGTCCAACTTCAGCAGTTTTACACAAGCCACGATCTAGCCATCTGGGTTTCCTCAATGTGGGACTGCGACAGAAGCATACGACGCCCCTTCAGCAGGCGGAGCTGACATAGAGTACCAGTACTTTCCATTTACCGTCATCACGGCTACTTAGGATGTACGTAGGAAAGCCTCCACGTCGCCTACGCAGTCGCACCAGTTTTTACTCCTCGGTCCCCCTGGGTATTGGTGGCCAGTCCCAATTCACCAACTATTCGCGTGAATGCAATAGCCGGACGAATATGTCAGGCACGTCTGCACCTCCTGTCGCAGAGATGGCGATAGCAGTTTAGGTTTCTTGTCCTTTTTCTATGTCACCGGGAGTTGCATGTCACCAGAAGGACCTTCGTTTGTCCCATTCCGATAAGATTAACTCAGTTTACATAGGCAGACTGCACAGCACGGGCACCGACGGCTGTCCTGAGAGCGAGTTTCGCTAATACTGTATGAACGCTACGTTACTACTTCCACCGCTTGCTTGGTACGGTCATGATAATGCCTGATACCACTAAATAATTTGCCGTCAGGTCCATAAATTGGTTAGCGACTTCGGTAAAATGACAGAGAAGGCCTAGAGGGATTCCTGCACCTTTAAAGTTAACGTGTGCGGAAGCATTAGATGCACTCCCATCGCCTTTGGCAAAAGACGCGGCGTTACACACGTGGAGGGGTTAGCGAGACTACGAATTCAAATTCCGGGCGAAAGGTACAGGTCTTCCGCTATACAAACAACAAAGAAAACGGCAAGATAAGGTGGTAATCGTGAAATTTTAATAAGTATAATCCGAATCACGCCTTCATGTGTAGGGCAGAGAGCAGTCCGCCAGACTCTTCCAGTTGTTTTACGATGTCCAGTCCTCCGACCAATTCACCGTCAACATACAACTGTGGGTAGGTAGGCCAGTCGGAGTATTTCTTCAGACCTAGAGGTAAAAGACATTGTTCTGGAATATTTATGCATGGACTTCCATTCTTGAATGTGGTCGACCTAGATATGACCAGCAGTGCAGACTGGGCCAACAATGATCATGTCGTTCGAGGCATTAGTATCCGGTTGTCCTGTCAGGTCTTTATTCTCGATCAAACTACCAATGGGAGATGAGAAGACGGACAAGTATAAAGACCGCTAATTATAAATCGGCAACCGGTAAAACTGTCTGGGCATGCAACGGAGACGATCTCAAAAAACCGAGAGGGTCGTTAAATTCCAGATGTGACGGGAAAACACCAAAGACGTGAAGCCTGGAGTTTCCGTTCCGACGACAGAGTTCAAGCTCTGGAGGTTTTTTAAGGATGTCGATTTGAAAGCTAGCTAGCAAAGCTACTAGTAAAAAATGTTTAAAGCCTTTTCGACTATTAAACAAGGACAATCAACTCCCATAAGAGATGGAACTGACCTTGTCGGATGGCATCATCCTTGAGAATGTCGAAATAGCCGTATTTTACGCTATGTGCGTTGAGGATTGCAACGATCTGCTTGCTAAACCCGCACCGGGGTTCTTCGGGTGAGCCCTTCATAAAAAGCATGATCGGAGCCTGGCAAATAAGAGCTTTGATACGGCTGTTCAAATCTCCGGAGTTCATTGCCGGAGAGTCGCTTCGGGCTCCGAGGTCGTCCACAAGTTTCGTTATCTCCGAGGCTTTAGCCCCATTGACTCGACCAACCTCTCGGCCGCCCTGAAAGCCGAAAGACCAGAAAAGTATCGAGTTACCGTTAGAAAATGTAATGCTTGGGGATGTCACGAAACATTTGAGAACTACCACAAATTAGGCCAACGTGAACATTTGCCCTGATCATATGCAGCCGGTGATAAAAGGGGCAGATCGACAAGAAATTGGACAAAAATCTGAAAGGAGCTGTAGATTAGTGCCTGGGTGGTAGGATACTAGGAGCTGAATCTACTCGAAGGTAGACAAAGCCAGCCTAGATTTTGCAGTTTGCAGAATTAATGTGGTGCGGCGAGAAAGGCCGACGCGTTATATCCTTCAGAGGCGATGAATAACTTCACCGTCATCAAAACCAGCAGTAGCGACGAGTAAACATACGTTAGGGGTGGACGTACAGAAAATGAGAGTACAGTCGGAACAGATTGAATCTGGTGTTCTTTGCAGAAGTTCTCAACTGACTCGGCATCGACCTGCAAATAAATAAACATCGTACATTATATACCTAGGGTCTGCGTAAGTCCTTATGATATCTTTGAGGTCATATCGGAAATCGAGGAACAGAGCGCCAGTGAAGCGTCAAATTTTAATTTAATGAAAATCACACAGGATAGGAATAACTTGACAATAACTGGCGCTAAAGGGAAGCTTGAGTAAAGGCCCCCGCATGCACAGCTAGGAATGGTTGTTTAAGTAATGCAAAACCTGGACCTGACGACAAAGTCCCATCACCAGAAAGACCCATCAAAGGCTTCAGGCACTTCAAGTGGAATCACTCATTTCACATGTTCGAAAATTTCATAGTCACGATCGAAAGCTTGGGACGAAAAAATTAGGCGTTCTGACTAATTATGTTGCTTCGACAGTCTGGGAATGCATTAATGAGTGCTCCAGATAGGAAGAATCTGCTGAATTGCTAAAGGACCTGTACTCAAAAACTAAAAAATTTCTGCTAGCCCTCTTCTAGCAACATGCAGAGAAGAAGGCGAACAAACCCTCGACCAGTTAGTCAAAAAACTAAGATCTTTAGCGAAGGACTGCGATGTCAAAGTCGTTAGAAGAGAAAATCTTAATTATGACGTGATTAACGCGTTTACCAGTGGCTTCTTCCATAAAACCAAGTTGGCAAAGAGGATTTGAACAGAAGACTTTAACTTGAACCGATTTTGGTCAGGCAACATAATTAAACTTGATAAAAAAAAACAGCTTCTGTTCTATCAGAACCTTTCAACAGTCTCATTCTTTGCGGCCATTGTGATATGCAAGTCTCCATCCAGTCCTGTTCGAGTACCTGAATAAGTAGTTCGCAGTCCCGCCCATGACGGTTTTTTGGCGGATACGATAAGCATCTTCATATGAAGTGTCCCAAACGTGACTTACTATAAAAAGGCTGCAGTAAAAAGGGCACTTAGAAAGAGTTAACCCAGCATCATGAGACTGAGAGGTCCTGTATTGCTCGGCACATCGCCCATTTCCGTCATAGCATCGCCTATTCCTAACCGCCTTCCGAGCATGATAGGTGGACCACAGGGCAGCGTGACTAATTTTCAAGACTAAATAAGTACAGACAGTTCTGGAAGTTACATTCCGTCCCCATTAGTAATTTAATGTAGTCGAAAAGTGCGTAAATCCCATGAACCCATGACAATTACCGTCCTAACGAGCGACACGCAAGGACAAACATAAGGTGCTCTTTATGGAAGTATCAAACTGTCGGTGTTGCTGAATTCGTGTACCATTCTCTACTCGGTCATGATCCCCCCTGACTTCACAAGTGTCGAAATCCTTCTTTGTGGACCTACACCTACGGTTTTATCGTGTTCCGTGGCTTCCGCTTGCGCTGAGCCCCCTCGCTTGTTTCCAAATCTGACGCATTTCCTATCGTGACGAAATCTAGGAACGCCAGTGTACATGGGAGTTGCACAATTAGTAATGTCACTAGTTGTCAAAACTGGTATGAAAGCAAACCTCGCTTCTTCTATCAAATACAAAACCAATTTCCCAAAACTACCCAGCCGGTCGAACGACTGTCTATTGATTCCAAAAGTCAAGTTCGGTCAATACTCAGTTTGGAATCGCTACGGTCTCTACCTCCACATGAAACAGCATATGCATCGAGCGTTCAAACTGACAACGCTCCTGCATGAGGCATAGACATGGACCGTCTACGAAAAGCAGACGAGAGAGCTCAACTACTTCCAACCTCACTGCCTCCGGAGAATACTGAACTTAATTTAGCAAGACAAGATCACTGACAAATAAATAAAGGGATGGATTAGAATTTTCCCCAATTATACTATACTAAGACAAATACAACTGCGATGAAACGTCCACGTCGTATAGATGGATGACAAGCACCTACCCGGACAACTATTCTACAGCGATTTCGGTGTGGGTGTTCGCAGACGAGGAGGACAAGAGTGACGCTACAAGGACATACTAAAAACTTCCCTCGAGGACCTATAAATTAACCATCAGGCCTGGAAAGATCTCGCCCAGGATGGAGAACCGTCAAAAGGACCTGGACGGTCATCCTCAAAATTAACAGGAAAGTCCCTCTTAAGACACAAGGAGCGACATGCAAGTTTCAAACGTAACGAACAGTAACTCAAGCATTCGGCCTCTAACGAACCTTCCCCGCACGCATTAGCCTTGTAGGACATCTACGAACCCAGTGGAATGTAAACATGGGAACTCCTCCAGTCTCATAAAACGTCTCCATCGCCACCACAATCATCACTACCACAATCCCGACGACGGCGACCACTAGCTAGAACACTCCCCATGTCCAGCCAACCACTATTACCGCCCCGTCCATCAACAATGTGAGTCTAATTTCAACCTGTCGTTACTGCCACCGCACATTTGGATGCATCTGATCCACCTTAGCATAGCCGGTATGGTGGACGCAATGACATATTTCTATCACACGTAAGTGGGGTCCTGTTCATGGTGTTTCCTCGTACGAAAAGTGGTGGCCAGGTCGTGCGTAACATAGGTAAGCAGGCTATACAGCTTCATCACCCACCTCGCCAAATGGCAAACCTTAGCTGGTTGACAGACTCGGACAGTTCATTAGCACATGTATGAAGGAAGAGAGGAAGGCTGAAACTGAAGAACCCATCCACATGACATGCTGGTGTCTTTTCATCGGGTCGTGGTGGTGTGGGAGTAGAGTAAAGCAGATGCCACACAGTTCGCTTTACAATAAGCTAATTCACGTACAGGTTACCCTATTGCGCCCACTCCACGGGGCACACGAACGTCGTCGTATGCGATGGTTGAACCGTCAATAATGTCAGTTATTCTAGATATTCAGTACTCCTATCTATATCCAAGCCGGTCGGAGATCTTCATTAACGTCAAAGGACATTCAGCGGTCCCTCCGCAAAACACTAGTGGCGACTAACAGGGCAACACTATACAACCTCAAAGAAAACGGACAAGTGGAGCACTTGGGCCAACCTTCGTAGAATGTCACTTTGCTTGCCGTAAAATCTCACAATTTGCATGGCACGCGCTGGGAGTCCATTCTATCTGAGGCTTTTACCCAATCAGATCACTTATAAACCATGAAGTATGCGACACAACGTAAGAGAAAGTATTTACAACCGACTACTGTAACCAGTCGCTCTGTGCGGCGCACTTCTCCCGGTGGAGTTGGGCTAAAGAACATCGAACAGTTTAAATATGGCCTGCTCGCTTGGGAAATCGGCCTGCTCTAGTGTAACCCTCAGTATGCTTACACGCGGTTAGCTAGTGGCAAAGAAAGTATATCCATTCCACTAGTTGCTCCCAGAGGAGAGAAAGGTGTCGATTGCCGTCAGGAGACGTCCACATCCTTGCTCGAAGACCCCGTGTCGTTTTTCCCGATCACAAGGTCAATGCTGGCAAGAGAGCGCCACCAGGTCGGCTGGCATAAAGAATTCTGAAGCACTTCTTAGTACCCGAAGGACGCCGACCAAATAACAACAGCAACAATGAGTTCATCCATACTGTCTCCGTAATAAAAACATCCAAAAAGTCGCTACATGCAAACTTTCAAAATAGATTTGTGGACGTCCTTGGACCCTCGGTTTGTTGGCCTGGGGAGGATGTGATAACTTTTTGCTCCGACAAATTTCACCCTGCTTGCCGTTCTTCTGTTTCGTGTTTCGGCTCCTGCCCTATACCAGGACATTTCTTCGGTCTGATTCTTCGACTAATCTTGTTCATACTTCCTCATTCGCTGGATCGCAGGCGTTTGATTACGACAAACAAATTTTACCAGTGCTTCATATTCAGAACGAAGTAGGTTGGAAAAATATAAAAGCTGCGAAAATCGCACACTGGATGTGGATTTTGCCGAGTTTATTATCCCTCTGACGGCTGCTCGGAAGAAGACCGAATCAGAAAAATAGTAAGAAACCGTTCATCATGTGTTTTTTCTCGAAAGCCACCGCCGAGTAAGGAGTCAGTCTTGTGTTCTCAATCATGCAAGACGTCAAGAAAAGAATAAGAGCAGTTTTGGCGTTTTTACGCAATTGCTTCTATGCTGGCATGCGTCTTGGATAAATAACCAGGTAGCGAGGCTTCGCCTAGACGATCAAGCATGTCCCTATCCAGACTTTTTAAAATCTGACCTCAAACGAACAATATTCGGTGATCCTAAAAAATCCAGATGTTTAATAAAGTTGGGGCTTCAAAAACAATGCTGTGATTATCTAACAGGCCTCCCAATCATTGGGCTTTTCGAAGTAACCAAGGTACGGGGTTATTTAGGTTTTAACAAAAAAAATCATACTTTAGTCTTCGCCGTAGATGCAACGGAACTCAGTTTTACACTGGCATTACCCAGTAAAACGCACGGCCTACGCAATTTCGGTTACATTCGGGAATCTATAACGTTCGGTTCGTTTAGCAGCATACTGGAATTAAAGTATACGTCACGCTTGATAATGACGTCACGTGATTGCGATCCTCAATGGGACAAATCCTTTTTGGTGTGCCATCGTCTAGAAACACAGTAGACCTAGATGCAAGCCAAGTGACGCAGGCACCGCCCACGAAGGCGATTGATAACACTCTCGCCACGAAGAGCCGAATTACTGACATTGCGACGAGGTCACGCATGGTAGCACGTATACTGAAAAATCTCCACGTCAGACGAAATACCAAGGCAGTAGAAATAAAAAGACGACGTGAGAGGGTGCAAGGTGTAAACAAAGGGAAGGATACCCGAAGGGTTTTATATCAAAGCATGAAGGTCTTCTACGTTAGCCGACTGGTATATCGCACTCTCAGGGGTGTCTGGGCTACCAGACCGAAAACTGGCACCTCCAGATTTGGGTGGGTCAGCGATCTATCTAGCGAAAGTAGATAATTTGAATGGAGAAGCGAATTTATAGCTGAATCCGAAGAGGGGCACATAGAAACGGGGAGAGAGCTATTGCAGCCCAAAAGATTTCGAAACCAAGCGATAGCCAGGTAGAATTACCTCAGCAAACGAAATGGAAGAATAACGCGGATCGTTCGAAAGCAAACGGACGACCTCACAGACCTGTGGACATTGTGGCGCCCATGTGGCAGAGATGTACAAGACACTCAAGCTTAGATTGTAACTCAAAGTTAGGGGTAACCAACCTGTTGTTGTTAACAAACTCCTTCAAAAGCTCTTCACCATTAATCGTATTTAACATGGCTTCTAAAAAGTTCGTTGGGAAGTTCTACTTAATATCCGTCGGTTGAAGTGCAGTAACTGAAAGCGATTGTGGCAGGGTACGCGGGCAACTGAGACACCGACGGTCTTTTCTTTTTTGTCCTACCCGCCAAATTTCCGCCCTGGTAAATCGCGACGAGAGCAAATTTCCAATTTCACTTTTTGTGTAACTTTCCAAACATTTATCTGCCTACTTTCTTTCCAGCTTCGGTTCACTTTTTGCAAACCGTTTTATAATGTTTCCTTTGAATGCATAATGAGTGCCCTATTAAGATTAGCAATTGATTTATTTTGGCATATTTATATCTCGGTTTACTGAATGAAATGGGCAGAGAAGCGTTTGGGAAAATACTGTGAGCTAATATGTTGCGACAGAAAAAATCAATGTGTTCCTTTCTAAATGTAGGAACGAAATTTCAAAAAAGCTCAGGACTGTGTGCGTGCAGCGAGATTAACCGGATATTCAACCACTTGGGTTTGGTTCTATTCCGTCTCCATTGGATAACATATCCCGCTTTCGGAGAGGACGTTCCTGTCATCAGATTTATTAACTTGTCTGGAGGTCTGGACCAGGGCTTTAGATGAGGGCTTCTAGGTGGGTGTTGTGTACATCGATTTCGGCAAAGCATTCGACAACGCATTTCACTGCCGTATAAGCCCACCTAGCAAACCTCGCACATCTGCCGTCTCTCCTATCCCCTGCCCGAACAACTCCTCATCGAATAACTCACCCACCACTAGCGCTATCAAACTAAACCGACCCAACATCACCAACCCATCCCGTCCGCACTTTCATCGTAATTTCACCTCACGCAGTCACCTGCTTGGTTGCCTGCGCATCCATCATAAACAGACTGGCGAGCCAATGCCTGGATCATTAAAATATTCCTCTCGCTAACTCCTAAACTGTCCGCATTCTCCCCGCATATTCAGTTATCGCATGAGCCCATTCGGTTACATGAGTATTCATTAAAACCTGCGATAAACCATGGCCGAAATGACCATACTGCCATAAATTCCCTCGTTAGCACAGGTATCACGCACAAACACATCCAACATCCATCATCAATGGCACCTCACATGAATGTGTAAAAGCATGCTTTTCGGTTCCATTCCCTATGTGTCTCCTTTGTTGCGTGTGAGGTTCGAGCGTTCGGCCCCTTATGTGTGAAATCCTAATGTGCGTGTACGGGATGCCAGGCCGTGTGTGTCGTATGCGCAATGGAGTTGTTCTCATTTCTGTCAGCGACCTCCCCCAATCTCAGCATCAGCAGGTTGGGCAGTTGAGACAGCCGACTCGTCGTGAGATAGTAGGGGACATCTCGACTGTCAGCGCACAATTCCTTACTATAAACGGTCTGACGGATTTGAGATTAACACAGTACACTGAAAGCCGTGGCCTGAAAGATTGCCAACAGACGTTTAAACTCGGCTAATGTTGATTCTGAGCTCCTTAAATGCAACAATACGCTTTATGTACAAACACTCCTACAGATTCGGCCGACGACCCCTAGTAAACCAAAGCAAGTGCCTAACCCAAAGACGAGTCTGAATCCAATATCGATCACTCGTACATTGGGTGAATCCAGTTTATCTAAAAAATCTTTCCCTACACAAAAGCCTGCCACTCTCTAACTGTGGACCTCCGACATCATATTGAAACGGTTAGGCCGAATATGCCGATATCCTCGACTTTGAATATAATAGAATGGAATCGGTTTGTTATAACACCTATTGGGCACTGTCAGTCGCCTTTGAACAGAGGGAAAAACTGCCCTTCTGGAAACAGCGTGTACCCCACCCGCAAAATTTTCATTCCACTGTCCCTTAATCAATGTAATCCACATACAAGTGCTCATTCGGGGTCGACCAACTCACCGGTCCTCAGTTTCACTCCGGCGGGAATATGTTACAGCATTCTGCCTGTGGATTTCCAGTAGAAAATCGGCCAACTAACGATAGTCATCAGTTTCTCTGCCGTCATTTCCTCTCCCAAATCCTACTCCTCTTTATCCACATAAGGGCCTTTTGATGCCACGCAAATTTTGCATAACCGGATAGGTGCATCCGGACCATATATTTAGTGGGCAGCCAATCACTGGACGATGTAGCTCATCTCCCTCAAAAACGAGCGGTCCTTCCCTTTGCATCCTTTATTTTAGATGCCAGAGCCCTGTAAAATAAGATGTCTGTGCTTCAGACTCTGGTGTTCTTCCATCGCTCAGATAATGTTTTGGAAGCTGATACATGAACAACAGCTTCTGCAACTGACTCCGAACTGTATTTTTGGCTATGCTTGCATTCGAAATGATCATCAAGACAGCCGTGGTGGGGCAGTTGCATTTACGTTGAGCAAACGCTGGAATTTCTGTCGCATTTTCCTGCCGTAGAAGGCAGCCTTTGGCTACTACTACTACCACTAATACTACTACTACTACTACCACCACCACTACTACTGCTACTACTACCACTACTGCCGCTGTTACTATCAATACTACTACCACTGGCGGGAATACAGTGTCGCAACACTGAAGAAAACTTTTTCCCCCGTCTACCACCACTGATACGGCGAATACTACAAATAATCCTACTATTAGTACTACTACTACTACTACTACTACTACCACCGCCACCACGGCTGCCAATGCTACTCTACCAACGCTTGCAGTATGGGTAACTAACTGCAATAATACTAGCATCAGTAACGGAGTGTTGCGACACTGGTATCCAACCTGCTGATCGTTGACTCTCACAGGCATTTCGCGCTGCGACCCAATAAAGCTTTAAGGATTAGTTGGTTGCGGATGGCTTTGATCTTCCTGAAGTCTGCTGGTCTCCGCTATCCGGTCTCAAAACGTTCGAAGACTTACTTGAGGCTGTGGATGTTGGCCTGTGTAGGCAGGCGTCGATGCTCCCACCCGTGGATTAAGCATACTTGACCTAATTTTCTGTATATATTTTATGCCTTTTTTCCGTGTCATCCCTCGGCCCACTCGGGGACTCAGACCATGACAGTTGTTTCAGTGTTAGAACTTGAGGCTAACAAAAGATTGTCCTCAAAGTATATCTTCTTCTTTAATTTTCTATCAGCCCGTTCGGCCAAAGTATTAACGCACCTTAATCCCTACGACTGGACTGGCTTCTTCCTTAGTTAGGATGTAGATGTTTACACTGCAAAACTGTACGAAATTTTGAATCCGCTTATTTCTCGTTTTGTCCACCGTAAGAAAATAATTAATGTGGGTATGAGGTTTTCCTCCGTTCCCCATTTCGCCGTAGTTTGTGCAGACTTTCTCGTCAATCCCAACTTCAAAATGACATTTCGGTTCTGCCGTCTATTTGCGACAGTTCTCGAGGGGTCAAGAGGTTATCCGAAGAAGACTGACTGGCAGGGGGTGTAGACTTCTCCAAATACCGCTCCTTGAAATTCGCGAAACTTTTCCCTCGAAAAGAAAAGGCACATGTAAAAACGAAACATCCCATCCTCCAAGACACTATTGGAAATCACATAAGAGACGTCCAATTGACTGCTGATAGTTTCAATGATTTCAGGTCGGAACTTTTACTTAAAACTTAACCGCCCGTTTCCGACCACCCACAATTGGACAGCAGCCGTTCTCCAAGGTATAACTTTCACCCTGTGAGACGTTACTGTAGTTATTCGGCTTCTTCGTCCATCTCATAATCCGGGACCTGATGGTATCCCAGTTAGCACTTAAAAGCGGATGCAAATGAGGTTTACCCGTCCCTCCTGTGCAAGATCCTTAATCTTGCTTTTGAAAGTGAAACTTAACAGAGAGTAACCTACTGAGCGCTGCACAACATTGATTCCTCGAAGGTCGGTTTTGTGACGCCTGTCAGCTCTCTTTCTTTGATCGTGTCCTCCAATCTAGGGACAGTGGGCTTGCACTTTACACAGTCTATTTCGATTTAACTAAGGCCTTTTATCGTGCTGATCATGCCATTCATCTCTTGAAATTTTCCTCTTTCGGAATAAGTGGTAAACTCCTGAATTGGCTATCCTTATACCTGGGTGGTTGCACACAACAGGTTAAGATTTACAATGTTGTCTCCACCTCCACATGCGTAGGGAGTGGAGTCATTCAGGGTAATGTGCCCGGTCGGCTATTATTTTGCCTTCTCGCCAACGACCTGCCAGGTTTAATTCAGAATGATAAGCCCTTCATGCACGCCGATTATCTGAACGTTGCATATAGGTATAAGCCGGCAGATGGTGACATTGTGCTCGAGCTCCTAAAGGACGACCTACAGGCCTTTGCCGAGTGGTGCCGCAAATGGCGCTTTTCTCTCTCGGCATAAATTCCCAGTCATGGATGTTGGTGACGACCATCAACCACGGCATAAATTTGCCTGGAGTTTTTAAGGATATGTGTGCATCATACTTTAAGAGCCCTAATCTTTTGGAGCACTGCGCTCTGACTGTCTCCAAAGCACGTTAAACGACAGGTTTTATCCTCCGAGACTTTTAAACCGGCGATATTAAAGTGCGCCTTTATAAAACGTACGTTAGACCTCGCCTGGAATACTGTTTGGTTTTATTGAACCTCATGCGTGCTACTGAGGGGAAGAAAATAGAATCCGTCCAAAATTTTTTACCAAGCCAGTTTTAATTTCGGAGCGCCGAGATTTTTCTTACTAAAAACGTTGCTAGCTTACGCGTGTTGATCCTTCTTGGTTTCGTAGATTACAAAAGGGGCTATTTTTACTATCTAGGCTTCCATAAAATTGTACCTTTAACCCACTCACCACTTTAGGACGTCTCGCCCGTCCCCGACGTAACAGCCACCGTGAGGTTGTTTTGTTTCATCCTCTGGCACGTACTTTTAAATATCGTAGTTTCTTTTCGGTGAACACGAGTGTTATTTGGAGTAGATTTCCCAGGAAGGTGAAACTCTGCAAAATTAGCCTTTGTTTAAGATAACTATTACTCGTGTTTTGCATACAGAAAAACTCCCACAA